TAAAGTTTCTAGTAGTTTAAGTGCAGAGACAGGTAAGCCTTCAAAAATTGAGATTTCTTTTAAATATGTAAGTTGATTTTACAAAGAGTTTCAAAGACTGATTTAGCTTGATAGGTGGTCTTTTCAACTTTGCTTGTTTCTTAGTTAGATTACTAATTTTAGGGTGGAGTTCTTTAAGGAACTGGGCATGAAGTTTTTAGGGCTTGAACCATGCTTTTCTTATCCATATATGCAAAGACCAAGCAGTCCCCTGAAGCAAGGACCATCTCCTGCAAATAACTGTCCTTAACACCTCTAACACTAGCTTTTGCCCACCATCACACTACCAACCATCAAACACACATCAAGGTCAAAACCTCTCACAGTTTCAAGCATCTATGGCACTCCCCCAAAAGCCACAAAGACTTCAATACAAAAGAGAGCAGAGTTTTATCTGTCCACTTACAACTTTGGGGGTATCATGAGGAAAAATAGGTTTCTCTCCAAAAGAGAAATCTGAGGCCCTTTCCATTTTCTACAACGGATCTCAGGCTGTCATAATTCTTTCTTTTGTTGTCTCCTAATGTGGCTTTGAGGATGGCAAGAGGAAGGAGGGATGGGCAGAAGGAAATAGAGACATAGGATTCAGTTGACTGAGAAATTTTAGAGAGAGAGAACAGAGGCCTTAAAACAATACATAAGTAGCCTGGGTGCAGTGGCTCACACCTGTAATCCCAGCACTTTGGAAGGCCAAGGCGGGCAGATCACTTGAAGTCAGCAGTTCAAGATCAGCCTGGTTAATATGGTGAAACCCCATCTCTATAAAAATACAAAAATTAGTTGGGCATGGTGGAGCACACCTGTAGTCCCAACTACTCTGGAGGCTAAGGCGGAAGAATCACTTCAACTGGGGAGGTAGAGGCTAGAATGAGCTGAGATCTCACCACTGTACTCCAGCCTGGGCTACAGAGTGAGACTCTGTTTCAAAACAAAACAAAATAAAACAAAACAAAACAAAACAAAACATAAGTGTACATACATAGCCCAGATATTAGTTTTAACTGTCAATTTTTTACTATCAAGCTCTTCAAAGAGAAACCTTTTTCCAATTGTAATTCTTACTAAAGCCATTTTACTTTGCTTCTGCTAGCTGGACTTCTGTCGCCAAATAGGCAGCCCACAGAAGTGGCCATCTGCTGCAGTGACTGCTCACCACCATTCCTTACCACAGGGTGGTAGATGGCTCTCAGCTAACCATTTATCTAAACATGCTGGTGCTTACAACACATCCTTATACTCATGCAGAAGTATCTAAAAGGTAGAGCCACACCACTCCAAATAGAAATGGCTGCCACCTGGGATGTCCCTCATGAACTTCTTCCATGGATGATTCATTCCCTTTGCCCACTTCTTGGTCTCTCAGCTCCTGGCCTGGCTTGCCACAAGTTTCACAGTGGGCAGTTCTATGCAAACCTATCTGATATGGTTTGGCTCTGTGTCCCCACCCAAATCTCATCTCAAAGTGTAATCCCCATAATCCCCACTTGTCAAGGGAGCAGCCTAGTGGGAGGTGATTGGATCATGGGAGTGGTTTCTTCCATGCTTTTTTTTTTATAATAGTGAGTGAGTTCTCACAAGATTTGACTGTTTTATAAGCATTTGACAATTCCTGCTCCACACCCTTTCCCTTGTCTGCTATCATGTAAAACAGGCCTGCTTCCCCTTCACCATGATTGTAAGTTTCCTGAGGTCTCCTCAACCATTTGGAACTGTGAATCAATTAAATCTTTTTTATTTATAAATTACCCAGTCTTGGAAAGCTCTTTATAGCAATGTGAAAACAAACTAATACACTATCCCAAAGTCTGAGGAGGCTGAGAGGCCAAAGGAAAAGGCTGACAAATACGATTGCTTAGAAAGGAAGATGCAATAGGAACTTATGAACAGAAGCCATGTCTGTATCACAGGCAGCAGTGAGATGAGATCATGGATCCCCGCCTTGATTTACTTTATAAAGCCAATACCTGATACAAAAATTAAAGATGTCTTTTAAAGATGAATGTCCTTTGTGAATAAAGATGCAAATATTCCCAACAAAACATTAGCGAATCCAATCCAGAATATATAAAAAGAATGTATGCCACAGCCAAGAGAATTTTTTCTACCCAAGGATGCAAGTTTGGTTTAATATATAAAAAATATTTATATAATTTATCACATTAATTTTTTAAAGAAAAAAATTACAAGATATCAATTGATAGAGAAGTGGTATTTAAAAAAAAACATTAATAATAAAACTCTCAGAAAATTAGAAAGAAACTTCTTCAACCTGACAAAAAGCATCCACAAAAAGCTTACAGTTAATATCATATTTAATATTGATATACTAAATGTTTTTCCCCAAAGATTAGAAATAAAGCAAAGATGCTCATTGTTACCACTCATATTTAACAGTACTGAAAGTCTTAACTGGTGTAACAAGGCAAGACAAAGAAATAAAAGGCATAATCATTAGAAATAAATAAATAAAATTTTTGTAATTGTAGACAGTATGACAATTATAAGGCATCTACCAAAACAAAACAAACAAACAAAAAGAAAAATCATTTCTAGAACGAATGAGTAACAAGGTCATAGGATATAAGGGAAATTCAAAAAATTGAAAATATCTATATGCTAGCAATGAACAATTGGCAATCAAATTTTAAAGCACAATACCATTTACAATTACTACAAATGAGGAACATTTAAGTATATATCGAACAAAAAATGTAGAGAATCTACATTCTAAAAACATGCTGGTGAAGGCAATCAAAGATGATCTAACTAAATGGAGAGGCATAATGTGTTCATGTTTTGCAGTATTCAACATACTAAAAGTGTCAATTTTCCTCATATTAAAATACAAGCATACTACACTTGCTACCAAAATATCAAGAAAATTAGTTAGAAATACAAACCAGGTAATTCAAAAATGTATATAAAAGGCCAGATGACCTAGCCTAGCCAAAGCATACTATTTCATAAACAAAACTGATCACCAAACAAAATTAATCACTGAAGAATTTGAACTAAGGAGGAACTAATTTCTACAGGCAGAATAAAGCCTGAAAATGAAAAATTCATTCAGTGGGCCATAGTTTTACCCTAATAGCCAATCCAAATAAAGGCATTATAAGAAAAGAATTCTGTAGACCAATATCTCTTATGAACATAAACACAGAAATCCTCAGCAAAATATTAGCAAATTTAATAAAATGTATAGATCAGAACAAATACATCACCAGAGAAGACTGGCAGATGAAAAATAAGGATATAAAAAAATTCTCAGCACCATTTGTCATTAGGTAATTGCAAATTAAAAAAAAATATGAGATACCACTATACATCAGTTAGAATGGCTAAAATTAAAAAAAAAAAAAATTGAAAATACCAAACATTGGCAAGGATGTGGAGCAACAGAAACTTTTGTTTATTTTTGGTGGGAATGCAAAATGCTACAGTCACTTTGAAAAAAATTTTGAAAGTTACTTGCAAAGCTAACATAGTCTTATCATATGATCCAGTAATCATAGCCCTAGACTTTGATCCAATTGATTTGAAAAAATATGTCCCAGAAGAGAAAAATAACATTAGATAAAAACTATGGAATTTATTAATAATAGTGTATCAATATTGGCTTATTAATTATAATAAATGTGTCATGCTGATACAAAAAATATTAGTGTTACAAATAATATGAAAGATATAAATAGTCAAGGAAACTGTGTACAAGATACATGGAATTCTCTGTACTACTCAATTTTTCTGTAAATCTAAAACTCTTCTAAACATTAAGGTCTGTTTAAAAAATGAAATGAAATCACTTTTCATGGCAAGGTAAAACAACATTAAGCACTGAGTATATTTCAATATCAGAGAAATTTGTTCAGATTTTTTGCACAGGTATAAAAAATGTATCCCTAACTAAATTGAGAAATCAGGTACATTAAGATATAGTGAGCTCCAATTTTTTCTTCAAAGAATCTGTATGTCAGTCTGTTCAGCTCTCTTATTCTTTGATTCTCCATTTTAAAGTTTAACTTCCTGGTTCTCTTTGCACCCTTGTCTCTAGTTTCAGTAAACAACTTTCCTGCCAGCTCTAAACAGTAGTTCACATTATTTCTCCTGATCACTTGCTCTGACCTGGTCTTCCTGCCAAATTACCAACCCTCGACCATGGCTTGTACCCCTGCTCTCTTTAAAACAGCCAATCAGAATTAATGTAGACTGTGCGGTCCAACCCTAGCCAATGGGGGAATGACATAGCAGTAGGGGCTCCCTGCGTCAGAAATAAGAACCCCTTCACCTCCCTTATCCAGGTGTGCTCTCACCATTGCTCCATCTGTGAGATGCACCCTTCTATAAGAGTAAAAATTGCCTTGCTAATAAAATTAAATTTATGTTCAAGTGCCATTTTCTTTGTAGCACTGAGGAACGAGCATTTTTGTTTCCAGCAGGTAGAACATAGGCTGCAAAATACTTCTAGAATTCAAGGTACATGTGAAAAGAATGATACACAGAAGAAAGCTTTTAAAACAGAAGCCTTAAAATCCTGTGTATTTAAAGAGAGAGGAACAAAAATTTCCAAGAAGGATGTATTAAAATTGTTGATTTCTTACATTATGAAGGAAGACCTACCCTCAAAACATATCCAAGTTCATATAATTCACAATCACACAGAATTTTAGGGTCAAAAAAATGAGCATCTCTGGTTACCCAACCATATACCTTATAGAACAAACAGGAAAAAATGGAGAAAGAAGACAGATATTTCCAAATTGAATCAACTTACTTACAAACATAATTTTTAAAATATCTGTAAAGTTGCCTCAAGGCAAAATCATCAGATTAAACAATTGGCTCTTCACTGCAGCATGTTAAGTAAATCACAGAGCTACCAGGATGATGTCTTTGGATTACCACCCAGGTACTATTGCATACAGATCAGAAAAAACAGCCACCAATAGGAAAGAATTTGGGTGCTCAATTTGTCAGCACATATGCTAAAATTGAAATGCTACTGAATAAATTAGCATGGCCTCTGCACAAGGATGACATTAAACTTTGTGAAGCATTACATGTTTTGGGGAATGGGTAGTTATTAATGGGTATGAAGTTTCAGTTTTGCAAGATGCGAAAGTTCTGGAGATGGATGTTGGTCATGGGTGCACAACAATATGAATGTGTACTTAATGTCACAGAACTATACATTTAACAGTTTAAACAGTAATTGCTGTAATATCATGCAAGGTGTCAGAATTGAAATGGAGTAACTTGTGCCAAACACTAACAAAAGCAAGCAAGAAAAAGAGAGAGAGAGAGAGAGAGAGAGAAAGGAACGGAAACCCAGGAGGCTGAGAAGGGAGAACTCATACAAACATGCCTGTGGAAAAAAAAATCTATTACAAAGACCCTGAAGGGTTCTTAAGCACATATGCCTATAACAAGAATGTTTGCCAAGGACTTTATAAACTGCAGTTTGCTATGTGAGTCACAAGGACAGCTAACTGGATGCAAAAGAATACTTGCAAGACACACTCTCCACTAATGAACTGACGTCAACTCCTGCAATAAGCCCCTGTACCCAATGTTCTCTGTTTCAAAACAAATTACATATACTTTTTTCATTTGCCTTTAAAAGCTTCCCCTTGCCTTAACCCCGTTGGATATACTTAACGATCTTCATGGCCCTTATAGCCTAGATTTGCAAATCTGCTACACATTCCTGAATAAACTCATTAACTTGAGGGAATCTCTGTGTTACTTAGGATGACAATACATATTTTTTTTAACCACAATAACACAATTTTTAAAAAGGATTTGGGAAATATGAAAATGGTCCATTTCTTCCCAAAATGACTTTTCTAACTTAATTCCAGGTTTGCGAAATTTTCGTTTGCATGATTTATTTCCTTGAGTTAAAAAAAACACCTAGTTTTCTCTTTTAAAATTAAACATATTTTTAGGCAATTATAGATGCACATGCAGCTGTGAGAAATAATATGGAGAGATCTCATGTACACATTACCCCATTTTCCTGGTAATAACAACTTGGAAAACTATTGTACAATACTATCACCCACGACACTAAAATCAATAGTCAAAATACAGAACATTTCCATCACATGAGGATCCTTTATGTCACCATTTTATTTTCATACCCAGTTCCCACTTGGCCCTGCCCTCTCTTTAACCCCTGGAAGCCACTAATCTCTTCTCCATCTCTATAATTTTGTACTTTCAAGAATATTATATAAGTAGAATCTTATAGTATGGAAACTTTTGGAATTGCCTTTTTTATTATTCAGCATGATTATCTGGAAATTTATCCAGGCTGTTATGTGTATCAATATTTGGTTTCTTTTTATTGCAGAGTAGTATTTCATGATATAGATGTATTACAGTTTGTTTAACCATTCACTTGTTAAAGAACATATGCATAGTTTCCAGATTTGAGCTATTATGAATAAAGGTGCTATAAACATTCATGTACAGGTATTTGTGTGAGCTACATTTTTATTTTTTCTAGAATAAATGCCCTGAAATGCACTTGGTGGGTCATATGGTAATTGTATATTTAGTTTTATGAGACACTGATGAACTGTTTTGCAGACTAACTGTGCCATTTACATTCCAAGCAGCAGTGTGTGGATGATCCATTTGTCTGCATTCTTGTCAGCATTCAGTGTTGTCCCTTCTTCAATTAATTACTTTTTTTAGGCATTCTTATGCATGGGTAGCGATATCTCATTGAGGTTTTAATTGCCATTGGCCTAATGGCTAATGATGTTGAGCATCTTTTCATATGCCATTGTGTATTTTGATGACATTTCTCTGCACTTAATTTGCCCATTTTCTAATTAGATTTTTGTAATTTTGTTTAGCTTTGACAGTTCTTTATATAGTCTAGATATTGTTAGATATGTTGGATGTTTTGTTTACATATCTTTTCTCCTACAATGTAGCTTGTTTTTTTATCATCTTAACAGGATATTTCATAGAGAAAACATTTTTTAAATTTAATGAAGTCTAACTTATCAGTATTTCTTTTTGTAAATTATGTCTTTTGCTGTCAAGTCAAAAAACCCTTTTCCTTACTCTAGATTTTGACAACTCTCTATTTTTTTAAAGATTTATAGTTTTACATTTAACATTTAAACTCATAATCCATTTTGAATAAATTTCCATATAAGGTGTGAAACATACAAGTTTCATTTTTTGCATATGGATGTCCAGCTTCTCCAGTGCCCTTTATAAAAAAGGCTGTCTTGGCTGGGTGTGGTGGCTCATGCCTGTAATCCCACCACTTTGGGAGGCCGAGGCGGGTGGATCACCTGAGGTCAGGAGTTTGAGACCAGCCTGGCCAACATGGTGAAACCGTGCCTCTACTGAAAATACAAAAATGAGGCGGGTGTGGTAGTGGGTGCCTGTAGTTCCAGCTACTCGGGAGGCTGAGGCAGGAGAATTGCTTGAACCTTGGAGGCGGAGGTTGCAGTGAGCCAGGAACAAGCCACTGTACTCCAGCCTGGGCAATGGAGCAAGACTCAATCTTAACAAAAAAAAAAAGGCTGTCTTTCCTCCATTGAATTGTTTTTGTACGTCTGTCAAAAATCAGCTGGGCATATTTGTGTGATTATATTTCCAGGTTCTCTATTCTGTTCCATTAGCTATTTATCTATCCCTCCACCAATGACACACAGTCTATTTTTGTTTTTCTTGAGTCAGGGTCTCACTCTGTCACCCAGGCAGGAGTGCAGTGGTACAATCTTGGCTCACTGCAACCTCTGCCTCCTGGGCTCAAGCAATGTTTCCACCTCTGCCTCCCAAGTAGCTGGGACCATAAACATATGCCACCATGCCCAGCTAATTTTTGTAATTTTTGTAGAGATGGGGTCTCACTATGTTGCTCAGGCTGGTCTCAAACTCCTGGACTCAAGCAATTTGCCCATTTTGACTTCCCAAATTGCTGGAATTACAAGTATGAGCCACTGCACTCAGCCAACACACAGTCTTGATTACAACATATAATAACTATTGAAATTGGGAATGAACTTCTCCCAAAGTTGATTTTTATCTAGTCCTATTGTCTTTTTATATAAATTTTAGAATAATTCATTCTATATCTGTAAAAATCGTGCTGTGATTTGATAGAAATTACATTAAACTTGTATATCACTTAGAGGAAATTGATATTGTTAATATGTTAAACCTTCCAATCCATGAACATGATATTCTTTATTTGAACTCATCATAGTTTTGTGGTTTCAGCATACAAGTCACGAACATGTTTGTTAGATTTATATATTTCATTTTTTCAGCAATTTTATATGGTACTGTACTTTTAAATTTTATGTTCACACATTCTTTGCTAACATGTAGAAATACATTTTATTTTGGTAGCTTGTGTCTTGTGAGTTTTCTGCACTCACTTACTAGTTCTAAAAAAATTTTGTAGATTCCTGGAGATTTCCTATGTAGACCATCATGTCATCTGCAAATAGAGATTTTTTTTTTCTTTTCAATCCATATTCTTTTATTTGCTTTTCTTGCCTTATTCCACTGGCTGCAAATATCCAGCACTATATTAAATAAGAGTGATGAAAGATAAATTCTTGCCTTTTTCCCAATCTTAGGGGAAAGGCATTTGCTCTTATACCATAAAGTATAATATTATCTGTGGCTTTTTTGTAGATGCTTTTTGTCAAGTAAAAGAAATGTCTCTCTATTTCTATTTTTCTGAGAGTTTTTATCATGACTAGGTGTTGAATTTTGTCAATGCTTCTTCTGCATAATGTAATCTTTTTCAGCCTGTTAATATGGTGAAATACATTAGTTGACTTTTTAAATATTGAAATTTCCTCACATCCCTGGAGGGTGGAAAAACCATTTGGTCCTAGGGTATAATTTTTTAATGTATTGCTGAATTCTATTTGCGAATATTTTGTTAGAAATTTTTGTTTATGTTTTTGAGGGATAATGATCTGTTGTTTACTCTTTTGTACTATCATTATTTGATGTTGGTATCAAAGAAATAAGAGCTTCATAAAATTCGTTGGGAATTATTCCCTCCTCTTCTGTTTTCTGGAAGAAATTAGGTAGAAATGGTCCAGCATAATCTGGAAGAAAGTTAGGATTAATAAACTTTTATTAGAAAAAACTAAATAATTCCAATTTTAAAAAGAAGAACCACTGGACTAAATTATACATTGTTACAGATGGTTTTGATTTTCTCCACACATTGACTGGCGAGTGGTAATTGCTGTGGTTGGAAAACACACAAACTGATGCCCTTCTCCTGCTCCCAAATGGCACCCAAAACTTCTGAGCAACTGTAGTCAAAAGCCCTGTGAAATGTGTCCAGATGATAGAGAAGCCCAAAAAGTGGGAGGATTATTTCTCTGGGCTTGACAAAGCCTTAAGTCTCTCTTTCTGAAATGTCTTCAGTATGAACTTTCACACTAGTCTTACTGTTGCTTATGCTGTCGTTTTGTTTAGCACATTAGGTTCAAGGAAATTACGTCCAGCAAGGGCCACTGCAGTAAATATAAATGCTTTGTTTAATTTGAGCTTATTAATATTCCTTGGTCATTTATTCTGATAGCTATAATGCAGTTGGCCTGGTAAAGGGCTGTTATTGAAGACCTGCTAATTAAGACAGTTTGACTTTAAAAAAGTATTAATTCTATATTCAACAAATGTTTGCTTGCTTGTCTATTCTTTTGTTGTAAAAGGTATGCCAAGTACTATGGTTTGTTCTGGGAATGTAATAGACAAAAATAGAGAACTGACTGTGGGAGAGACAGATACAAATGAAACAATCACAAAAACAGGCACTTTACAAAGTGTGACATAGACTATGATGGACAATGAGAGTGACCAGGTTTGAGTCAGGAAAGGCTGGTGTTGAGTCAGGATGAGCTGGAGATAACTAGTGGAGGCTACTCTGTGTGCCCTAAGAGGTAGACATCACTATGCAAAGTTCAATAAGACACGGTGCTGGGCTCTAGAGCTCATAGTCAGCATTTGCCCTAGACCTCAGAGAATCAAAGAGATTTTTTAGGACAAGAGAAGTAAGGAAGGGTGATT